AGAAGTCCATTTAAAGCACCTGCATTCGGTTTCAGCGAAAATCTAGCGAATTTACGAATGATTGAGTTCCACTATTTATTTATCCAACTACCGGATAAAGTAAATGTAGGCCAGTTAGATATATTCTGCTTTTCTGAGAATTTTATTTTTATTCTAAAAACAGAGAACTGTTGAGTAAACTGTATTTTTCTCTAGACATGTTAGCTTTTATTCAGTCCCATTCATTAAAGATAAACTTTTTTTACGTAGAGTTATCTATATTTTTCTCGTAAATATCTACGTAAAAGTCTAATATACGAGCTTCAAAACAACCAAATAAACATCAATCAGTAAAAATACTAAGAGTTTTTTTTTTTTTTTTTTTTTTTTTTTTACATTCCAGATGAAATTGAGGACGTGGAAATGTACCTTTCCAATCAAAACGAAAAAGAACATTTACTAAGCATCAATTAAGTCATTACAAAAAATTATACATTGTGCATATATCAACATAATTTTAAAGCAAACATTGAATTTTAATTTCTGGCGTCAGAAGCATGTATAGCCTAGCTTTCCCACTTTTCATTTCGCTTTACGTTACGTTGTGACTCTCTTTATTACGTTAATAAATCTTCTTACTACGTTAATTTATCATTCATACAGCTCTGAAGTTAGCCATTTTGAATGATATTGCCTATTGTTGGGTAATCAGATATTTATTTGCTTTTTAATTACAGCATCGTATTCCTTTCTATATCCTTATCCTTTGACTATATGTATGCGTAACTCTTCATAGTTCTTAGCTTTGCTTTATACCCTTTTAAATTGTAGAAGCATATTTCTGGACTGTGTGAAAGAATGAGCTATTGAAAAATAATATGCTTGTTCATGTTTTACAAAAATTCTGTAATAATGTGGTCATAAGTATGTGAGGTTAATTTCGTTTATTTAACCAGTTATTTTATGCTGAAATCTTTACTGTGACTTCTATCTTTCCGTTTCCCCGTCAGAATGAAAATTAGCTCGCGTAGTGAAGGTTTGAGATTATTAAGAATGATTGGGTTCTGCTTCTTGAAGGCCACGTTATTTGGTTTGCTTAAGAACCTTGAATTCTCGTCGTAAATGCTGACGGATTTGTAAGCACGAGGTGTTCTTTCTGTACATCTATCTGAGTTTAAAATAAAAGGTTCCCTTTTTCCGGTTTCTGTACTTACTTTTAAACTTAGCCATAAGTCGCTCTTCACTGAAGTGACAAAAGTCATGGGATACCTCCTAATATTCTGTCGGTCCTCCTTTTGCCCGGCGAAGTGCAGCAACTCGACGTGGCATGGACTCAACAAGTCGTTGGAAGTCCCCTGCAGGAATATTGAGCCATGCTGCCTCTATAGACGTCCATAATTGTGAAAGTGTTGACGGCGCAGGGTTTTGGGCACGAACTGACCTCTCGATGATGTTCCATAAATGTTCGATGGGATTCATGTCGGACAATCTAGGTGGCCAGATCATTCGCTGGAATTGTCCAGAATGTTCTTCTAACCAATCGCGAACAATTGTGGCCCGGTGACATGGCGCATTGCCATCCATAAAACTCCCATCGTTGTTTGAGTACGTGAAGTCTTGAATGGCTGTAAGTGATCTCCAAGTAGCTGAAGGTATCCATTTCCAGTCAATGATCGGTTCAATTGCACCAGAGGACCGAGTCCATGCCATGTAAAAACAGCCCAGACCATTATGGAACCATCACCAGCTTGAACAGTGCCTTGTTGACAACTTGGGTCCATGGCTTTGTAGTGTCTGCCCCACACTCGAACCCTACTATCAGCTCTTACCAACTGAAATCGTGACTCATCTGATCAAGCCACGGTTTTCCATTCGTTTAGGGACCAAGCGATATGCTCACGAGCCCACGAGAGTAGCTGCAGGCGATGTCGTACTGTCAGTAAAGGCACTCGAGTCGGTCTTCTGCTGGCATAGCCCAAGGAAGACAAATTTCGTCCGCCGCACTGTCCTATCGGACACGTCCCTCGTACGTCCCACATTGATTTCTGCGGTTCTTTGACGCAGTGTTGCTTGTCTGTGAACATTGGCAACTCTACGCAGACGTCGCTGGTCTCAGTCGTTAAGTGCAGGTGGTCGGCCACTGCGCTGTACATGGTGGGATGTTATGCATGAAATTAGATACTCTCGGCACACTCTTGATACTGTGGATCTCGGAATGTTGAATTCCCTAACGATATCTGAAATGGAATGACATATGCGTCTAGCTCCAACTACCATTCCGCGTTCAAAGTCTGTTAATTCTCGTCGTGCGGCGATAATCACGTCAAAGCCTCTTCACATGAATAACTTGAACACAAATGAAAGCCCTGCCAAAGCACTTCGCATTTATACATTTTTTACGCGATACTACTCTCCATCTGTATATTTGCATATTGCTATCCCATGACTTTTGTCACTTCAGTGTACGCTGTCAAAGATTTGGTCAGAGTTTACAGCAGTGAAAGATATCAAACTTTACAAGCAGTTATTGTTAAATATATTATAATGTTATCTAATTAAATGTATAAAATATGTCATATTCTTATTCAATATACCTAAATGGTAAATTTTATAAGCAATTATTAAAACACGTTTCTAAACATTATGAATAATGAGTAACGGCTACAGACTAACGTCGTCGTTTGCCTCCAAATCTTATCGCATATCTTGTTACATTATTTCCCTCATCTGTCAAATTTTGTAGTCCATATGCGTAACATTCGGTACTTTAACTAGTTTTGTGGTAATACCCTTCATAAATTTACATTAAAAAATAATAATAGGGTTTACAGTTTAGATTATTTTTACTTTTAAAGTCTTTCAATGATGGTAGTGTACTTGAAACGGACTTCAAATACCTTAGAGTTTAAAATAAATGTCTGTACTGTGTAAAATACAGTAGAACCTCGATTATTCGAGATAACTGGCATCGTATCGCAGATAATCGAAAGCTTGGTTAATGGGGACTAAATTTTAAATATTGTCAGTTTTGCTTTCACCAAGGTTTTCTAAAATTGTTCATTTAAAATTATAAAAATAAGTGCATAAGGGCTATTATTGTTATTTTAGCGATGCCCAATCAGTGCAGTTGTTAGCGTCGCTGATTGCCGTGCAGAAAGGCCCGGGTTCGAATCTCGGAGAAGGACATGAATGTTTGTAAAATGTATAGTATCTGTGAGGCATGGGGGGCACTCCAAATATGCCGCTAGCCGAAAATCCTCTCGAGAAGTTGTGGTAGATGAAGAGGGATAGAAGGCCCTCGGACTCGTTCCTCCAGGTGTTCGGTGTTCTCCATCAAAACTGGGAGCGGAAGTGAGCTAAATCGCACTGTCACCTGTAAGGTGCTCAAGGCTGTTGCCAACGGCAGGCGTAATCTTGCGCTCCTTGTCACGAGGAACTTCGTGGGCTTGGGCTGATTATACGTCAGACAAGTGAGCATCAGCAACGAAATAACAACAACATTATTAAGACACAATAACACGCCGAACAAATACTAACTCAGAAGTCAAACAACAAAAACCAGCGTTATGTTTTCAAATTTTCACAGGACTAGTTTCGATGGTTTTACCGAACCACTATCCTCAGCTGCAAAAGCGCAAATGAACGAGATAGGATGTAATGATTAGATAAGATAAGAAAGCCTGGACAGGAAATAAGCTAGTGGCGCCATCTGTTGATGAAACCAGAACTAAAACATAATTTCTTTGAAGGTCGAAGGCAACGATGGGTTGGAATTAGGATCTTTATAGCTAAAAAGCTGCACATATTTTCCAGAAATTTAACTTTTGGGTCGTTTATTCTCCCATCAATAAAATGTCGAGTTCCATATTCAAGGACCCCATTCCGGATATGAATTCCTGGTGTATTTATAGAATTCCTTGCCAGTGTGGTTTAATTTACATTGGCCAAACTAAGAGAGCCTTAAAATTCCGCGTCAAAGAACATGAGGCGTATGTTAGAAAAAAGGAAACACAGAAGTCTTCTGTTGCCCAACATTGTTGGTCCGAAAATGACACTTTTCTGCTGCCAAAATTATTCAAAAAACATCTTCCATTGGAGAACTGGATTTTCTAGAGGCATTTCACATTCAAAAAAATCTTTCTGTTCCAGTTAACGATCCTAATTAGAATCCATCTTTGCCTTAGGCCTTCAAAAAATTATGTTTCAGTTCTGGTTTCATCAGCAGATGGCGCCACTAGCTTATTTTCTTCTCAGGCTTTCTTATCTTATCTAATCATTATATCCTATCTCGTTCATTTGCGCTTTTGCAGCTGAGGATGGTGGTTCGGTAAAACTATCCAAACTAGACCTGAGAAAATTTGAAAATATAACGCTGATTTTTGTTGTTTGACTTCTGTATTAGTAATAACATTATTATTTTAGCAAACCCATTTATTAATAGATATTTTTTCCCTTCAGGTAAACAAAAAATGCCTGCTATATATATATATATATATATATATAAATATATATAATAATGTTGTATGATCTTAAAATTCATTTAGTGCGAAAACAAGTTACTACTACTTGCCCAATATTTAGTAAATAAATTATATATATATATATATATATATATATATATATTTGTAAAGTAACTGGAATAAACAAACTCCATCAAAATTTGCGCATGCAAAATTCGTCAAATTTCTTACGTAATTTTTTATCTGAAACCAGATCTCTTTTTTTTCTTACGTCTATTACCTCTTCCTATAACTATCTTATGATTAATTATAACAGAAACCTTCGAAATTGATAGCGTTCTTAACTGAATCTATGCCAAACACAAGGTCGTTGCTTTGATAATTTTATATTTTACTTGTTTCTCTTCTAATTTTATTACATTTTCTCAATGGAATTTCTTAAACTTGATATCAGCTGCATTAATAGAAGCCTCGGTTAATAGAGGTTCTACTATATACGTTCTAAACTGCACAACCCTCGGAATTTTTTTCTGATAATTTAACACGTCGGTTTTTTTGTAGGATGACGACTTCTTTGTGCCATGTGGATTCATTAGGTTTCAAGCACCTATTCGTGGACAAAAGTCTCATTCTTCACTACGTGTGTCGACAGCTTCATCGGCATTACTCAACTCAGCTTCGTTCCCATGAGAGACATCTCGCGGCCTGGAGACGTTACCTGAAAAAGCATCCGGATCTTGCTAAATCCACGGTAATCCTTAAATATCCTATCCTTTTAGACGTGAGTAAAATTCTTAATTACCAAAGGATTTCGATGTTAAGTTATAGAACTATGAATAATATAATTTAACACAGCTACATATTAGGCAAAAGCAATTATATATGAATTATATTATTTGCGTGATTTACCTTTTACACTGAATTTTATTATTAAATTCCTTGTGAATAACAGAGCTATTAAAAGTCATTGTACTAAATAAAACGTTTTCTACTTGTTTCTTTTTTAAAGGGGGGTATTTCATTTATTATTACAGGATCCTTTTAGTTGTTTGCATAAAGCCAAATGATTGTCTTTGTGAAATTGTGCCTTTATTATATTAGGTGATCAGACAGGCAATCTAATCATAAAATTCTAACCTTGACGTAACCACCACGTCATGTACACTGCGAAGAAAAAAAAAGGACAGTTCTATATCTCCCGTTCTACTGGGCCGATTGACGAAATACAAATTGCGTTTTTCATGTCTCGAAAGCGCAACTTAGAATATGTATTAGATTTATATATAGCATTGTTCTAATATAGGTATTTTGACACAAAATTGGACTTTTTCTGAAATGACATGCAATTAGTTTTTTCATATTTGGATTCTACGACTCGAATTATGCCAAACTCCCAAGTTTTGTAAAAATCCCACGAGTAGTTTTTAAAAAATTAGCTTTCAAAATTTTAGCTCCTCATTGTTAACTCAGTTTGCGATGTATTTATTAATATCTCTTTTTTTAGGGAACTTATTTGATTCCTTCCTACACAGTTTCAAAATTTAGGTTCATTCCAAATAAAATTCACCCATTTTTTATGATTTATTTTGAAAATTTGTATTTTAAATTAATTTTATAAATGTTTCGGAAAAAAATGTTTAATTATAACCTATAAAATTTTTACAATCATCTTAAAGAAGTTGTATTTCTAAGCATACCTGCAAAAAATTAGAGATTTTTATTAAAAAATTCCGAAGATATACGTGAATTTATATATTGGCGGGTTTTGAAATTTGGCATATTTGCTGAAAGCGATAATGACGTAAATGTGGTTTACTCACTTTGTTAGAATTATTTGAAAGTAGGAACGCGTTGACGTTTTTTCCGCTCCTGCGCAATAGAAGAGAAAGGAAAATAGGTTGCCATTAATTAAGAAGTTCGCCAAGTGAATTATTCTTGGCTCAAATTGAAAAAAAAAATGCGCCAAGATAATTTTTTGAATTTTTCCGTAAATTTCGCACCAAATTTTACAAAATTTAATATTTAGGCATAATTTGCGTCTTATAATTGAAATATGGAAAAAATATTGGTTCGTTATTTCAGAAAAAGTCCCATTTTGTCTCAAAATACCTATATTAAAACAAAGCTATATATAAATCTAATATATATCCTAAGTCGAGCTTTCGAGACATAGAAAACGCAATTTGTATTTCGTCAATCGGCCCAGTAGACCGGAAGATACAAAACTGCCCCCCCCCATTTTGTTTTTTTTCCTGCAGTGCACATGAGACCCAGGACTGAGTACTTGTTTGCAGCTGTATTTGTATTTGATTTGTATTTGTATTTGATTCGTCCGTCATTTAGAGAGTTGTAACTTCTATGGTGAAATACACTTAAATTAAATGTTCAACCTAAAGGCTAGACGCGATTTATTATCTTGTCATGTTGACCAGTTATCTCTCTTAACTATTTAACTGTCAGCACAAATCACAAGTTACTTAAAATTCATATAAGATATTTTTGACGTTCCCGATTCCTTACAACCTAAAATTTTAACACATATTAAACTGGTAACTTTTCATATAGAAATTGTTACGAGATGATGCTACCTGCTTTGGTCTAACATTCAAAATAATGAACAAGCGAGGTTATGAATTCAAAACTAAATACCTGATCGTCTATTCCAAACTAGTAAACTCCAAACTCGTAAACTGATCTCCAAACTCGCAAACTTATTCCAATATTAACCATTTTAGCTTTCGCAGAACCAGGACGAACTAGTTCTTTTTGAACATCTCGACAAAACTGTGGTGCATGCTATTTAATTTCTAGTCTGGGAAAATATTGCGGCAAAGAGCCAAGAAACACTGAGTAAAGATCAAATTCAAAATATCTGCTAGCAAAATTTAAGAAGAATTGTCACATGGTCTGAAGACAATTTCATAATATCCCGCTAATGTTTCCTCCGTAGCCGAAAAATACAAAGCCTTCTTAACTTTTAAAGTAATTATGTAAATAAATTTTAAAAGAAAATAAGTTACTGCCATCAAAGTGTTCCATCAGTTCTACAGCTTGTCTGGAAGCAGTTTATAGAATTGGAGACATGGATGTCATCAGTGATTTCTTCAGATCAATAATGATGGAAATAAAACCGTTATCAAACCTGATAGCTGGCTTCAAGTGAGCGTAGGAAAATATATTGCCGATAATCTTCGCTACCAACTACTTTTACTGGTTGACCTACGCGAAGATCTTCCAGAAATATATTCTCTCTATCCTCTCCTGTGCGAAATAGAGCAGCGGGCACTTCTCTTGTGAAATGTCCCGGCTATGTACACACAACTGATCGCCGAGCGGAACTGTTTCGGCTAGCAGTCTCCCGTTCAAACTAGTGCTGGAAGAAAGTCGTTTCTCAGAAGAGGCTTTTAAAGGGCCGCTTTACCAGGTGTGACGCAAAAAAAACGAGACTGTGTAGCTTGAGAGCAGATGGGAGTTGGCACAACTGCTTTGGTGACGTCATGCCGCACACCTCCTCTATCCATGTGGCCAGTTTCGACCTAACCGACCACGTCAGTCGGGAGTACTGCGTCATTGAGTGAACACGTCCAAGTGCATTCTGCAGGAAAAATGTCTGATGTTAATACCGAACAGCGAATCAACACTAAGTTTCTTGTGAAACTTAAGAAATCAGCCACGGAGGAAACATTTCAAATGGTAACCGAGGCTTATGGAGACAAAACTTTGTCTCATGAACGTGTGTTTGAATGGCATAAGTGGTTTTCAGGGGGAAGGGACAGTGTGGATGAGGATGAATGTGCTGGGCCCCCCCTTGGGCGTTTATCACGATTGAATGGGTTCCCGGTGGTCATACTGTTAGTCAAGACTATTATATTGAAGTACTAAAAGACTTCGTTAAAAATTAAGGAAAAAAGACCACAGTTGTAGACTGATGGATGGCTCTTGCACAATGCACCCGCTCGCACGGCCCTATCTGTCAAGTAGGTTTCTGACCAGCAAGACCTTTACTGTGATGGGACATCCTCCTTATTCACCTGATTTGGCTCCATGCGACCTTTTTTTTTAATTTCCTAAAGTTAAATACTACTTAAAGGGAACCCACTTTACCTCAAATGAAGATCTTCAGGCAAAAACGGAAAATCTCCTGAAGGGCCTTCCAAAAACCAACCTCGTTCCAGAACTGTTATTAGCAATGGCAGCACCGAATGAATGCTGAAGGGGACTACTTTGAAGATGATAATGTCACAGAGACCTGATTCTGTAAATACAATGACGTGTTGTACCAATCTCGTTTTTCTTGTGTCACACCTTGTATGTTATAATCTTAATATGTTCGTTATAAATAGGTACTTAAGCCTGAAAGTGAAAGAAGTTCATGTGCTTTCTCTGTTTAAAAAAATGGAGAACTGCTCCCAATAACTTATTAACACAATTTCAAAATTCTACGTCATCAGAAGTGCCGTTTTATGAAAACTTACAAAGTACAATTTCTACGTTTGTCAACTCTGTCGCAGGTGAAAGAACTCTCTAAGAGACTAGATCTACCCAAAAGCTCAGTAAGTTTGAATTTAAAACTGGACCTGAGAGATTCAGGTCTGAGTGATGAGATCACTTAAGAACCAAAGCGATTCGATATTCACTGAAAGCTTCTAAAGTAATGGAACAAACTTCAAGGTTCACATAACAACAACATACACAAGTCAAAATAAACACATTTCATCGTAAAGGCATGGTGACATGTTATTAGGTATTATAGAATGCTTTTGTTTTTCCAGACACACAGAATTTTGCAAAACAAAAATATAGAACCGTTTCAGCATCTTCACACATAAAGTCTTTCGCAGTGCAAAAACATAGAAGCTTTTCAAATACACATATAAAAGCAATGATTTTCGCACATGCTGTTATTACTTTTTTCCTTTCTCATTTTTTCTTCTGTATTTTTATTTTCATATATTTTATTTGAATGTACGTTCCGTTTGTGGCATGGACTTGCCTATAAATTGATGACTTTTATATTCTATGTTTTTAATTAATAGTGGTTTTATAATTCTCTCCTACCATTCAAGTAACTTTTGGTCCAAACAACTTTTGTACTAAAAAAAGTCTCATTTCTTTAACCACGTCTCTATCAATTCCACTGAGGGATCCACTGTCCCAGAGTTTCTGGCGTTATGTGTTTCCGAAGAGCGTATTTTCATTCGGATATCTCGCTATCTGCGATATAATCGAAGATAAATTTTCGCAATCAGAGCTCATGCACACTTACTGGAGACTTGTATACCAGATCGAAGAAGGCGGATAGCATCAACTGTATTTCCGTTGCGAAAGAAGCTCTTCACAAAATTAAGAAGTACATTTGATAACCTGACAGCTTATCCTGTGAACATAAATTGTATAATGAAAAGTATTTTGTCACTCTTTAAAAATTTTTCTGATAGTTTTGAAGCACTAGTGTTTGATTTATATATTTTTCCTTTACCCATATAATCACCTGGTTCTAGAAAGGCTTCAAATATTTTACGCTTGGTTTCTTACCTAATTTCAGTGTAACCGTTATCCATAAATTGCACTCTGTGATGAAGTCTTTAGACATCAACTGAGGTGTTTCATTTGGCTCTAATAAATAGCCAATTCACTAAAATTCACAATATCTGAAGCAAAAGCTTTCATACGCGAATTTAGTATTAAGTTCAGGTTATTCCAATTAAATTGTTTTCCTTGTAGAGACGTTAGGTTAACTGGAAGAAGAAG